TGTAGTACTATCTTCCATTTGTCTTTGCGATGTGGAGATAGATGCATGATATAGCAGGGATACATTTATAATTAATATGTTACGTAAACGTAAAAGGGTTTCTATAAAATTAGCTACAACTTTTGCATCAGATAATTGTACAGGAATTTCAGCAGATTGTAAATGGTAATATCGATGCACATTAGCTCTATCTCTGACAAGAACGTTCAGATGTAACATATTTCCCGCTACTTGCGCTCCAACTACTCCAAATTGATTTTTGTCTGGTTTAAGAACTTTGCGAACATAATACATACCGTCATTTGTCTCGCGCCATAACTTTACCTCATCATCTATCTTTTTGCTGAGTGCAGTATAATCGTGAACATTCTACGTATAGAAGCTCAAAGAAGACCTCTAAATATTTTAATACAAACATAATATCGGGTCGCCTCCCCATCTGTCCTTTACCCTTTCTATCGGCACTAGCAATACTTTGCCGTTCTGATGTACTGATAAATGAAGACAAATCTAAAAGGAAGATTTTTTAATACCACCTGAATTGATAATAAAATGATTGTCAATTGGTAGGTGCCTTCATTCAACGATTTTGCAAGTTCAGAACTAAAGATTGGATTATTCCAAATGTCTTCGAGAAGGGAAAAAAGTTCTTTCGCAATGTCCGATATTTTCTCGTCTGATTCTTTCCAAATTCCATTATGTATAAGTTTTTCAGGTGGCGCATTCTGGTAACCATGACTAATGACATTTGATACAAATTCCTCACACATTTCTTTGACCTTTGGTATAAGAATGGGCTTCATCAGTCGAGCGGGTTTCTATTAGAGCATCGATAGAATATTATGTTGTTAAAAAAACTAGCAAAGCAATTTCCATATATATTATTACTATTAACATACCATAAACGCCTTTTTTAGATTTTTCGGCAATTCTTCTACGAGTTTAGAGTCATCACTAATGATTTGGCTTGCTAGAGGATCAATTTTTGAATAGATAGAGTCTTCACGGCCGAATATAGATGCTGACCAAGGGGTGTGGTATCTTTTCCGAGTTTCTCCTCCAGCTCAGTTATATTTTTCTCAATTTGATCGGAGCTGAGAGGGCTCTAAATGGAAACTCAATCTTATGCAAGTTATTTCTATTTTTTTGTACAATATCAGCCTCGCTATAAGTTAATATTATTTTTTCTGGAGAAAGGTTGTACGCCATAATAAGACTCGGATATAAAATGCAAAATCCAATCCTGTAACAGGCCTCTTCGTCTAAATTCCTTTTTTAGGTGGAAATACGTATGCGCCAGGATACTTACCTTTTTCTATATTTTTACATTGTTCGTACCAAATAATATATTACGTTTAATGGCATAAGCACCCAGAAGGTTTTGCACCTTCATTCCATTTGCCCGATAATGTGAATCTAGAAGCAATCTCCCTAGTCATTAATTACATTCCGCTTAACCATAAGCTCCTGGCAACGCAATGCATCTATAATACAATAATATGCCACTTT